CCAAGCCGCGGCTGCGGTCTCCGGCTCTGGCCGCACGCCGGCAGGGCTTCCCCGGAGCGGGTGCTGAGGGGCCGCTTTGGGAGAAGCAGCTGCGCCGCCGCTGCTCTGCCTTCCATTGGATTAAAAATAGCGTCTCTCCGCCCCTCCGGATGGGCAGGCGGGCGGGCCTCGGCTGCGCGCTTCTGCCCCTGGCCGCGCCGCTCTCTCTGCCCGGGCTCGTCCGTCCGTCCGTCCTTTGGCGCCTCTGGCCAGCCAGCCAGCCAGCCAGCGCAGCTCTTCGGGTCCGGCCGGCGTCGGGGAAGATGGAGCGAGCCGCCTTGTTCGCGCAGGGGCGGGAGGCGCCGATGGCTGCCGGGGACGTGGGCGAGCTCTTGGTCCCCTACATGCCCACCATCCGGGTGCCCAAGACCGGCGACCGCGTCTACAAGACCGAGTGTGCCTTTTCCTACGACTCGCCCGTAAGTAGCGGCGGCTGCCCGGATAGTCCTTCCCCGCTCTCGGCGGGCTCCTCCGCGGCCGGGGATCCTGACTAAGTCTGCGCGCTCCATCCGCCCCCCTCGCGTCCCTTTCACCCCGCTGCCTGCCCCCGGCCTGGTTTCCTGCGCGGGGTCGCGCTCACCCCGTTGCGCGGCGAGGCTTTCGCCCCCCCTTTTCCGTCCCCCACCCCCACCTGTCCTTTCGTCTCGGGTTATATCTCCCCTCGTCCCCAGCGGAGTTCCCTCATTCCCCAGATCGATTCGTCTGAAGTGGAAAAGCTGGGCGGACCTGTAGGTATATCCCCCCCTCCTCTCTACACACACACACACACAATTTTCCAGGACTCCCCTAGAAGTGAAGTTGTCTTGAGAAGACAACATAGGTTTGTTGTAGCTACTTTGCCTTGATGCCCAGCTTGGGGGCAGCGCCTAGCTAGCGAATGTAGAAAAAAAAAGCTCAAGGGAGTTGGATTGGTTTATGGAGGGCTTGGATGGGAGGCCACCAGGAGATGTCCAGGTGGGGAACGCCAGATTGGGAAGTTAAACACACACACACACACACACAAAAGAAAGAAAGCAAGAAAGAAAGTAACGGCAAACCAATTCCATTCCATAAGGACGTATCTTTAGAATTGCAAGTCCACTTTGACTTGAGGCAAATATTTTGCCAGGGACCCCCAAAAGTTTTTTGAGCTGGTTACAGGCCTCTAAATAGATTCCTTCCTCTATATGCAACTCGTCCCATTTTATTGGTAATATAGCCCAATTCTGCTGATCAACGCATCAGCTGCCCCATCTGCCTTTCCTTATTGGTAAGGGACTTCTGCCAGGAGTTTTTGGTTCTTGGGTTGCCAGCCAGATCTGAAAAAGTCATATATATTTTTGCTTAGCTTGTGTGTTCCTCACAATTCAGTGATTTTTATTTATTTATTTATTTATTTTGTCAAGCGATTATACGATTCCAGGTGTAAGTATAGACATAGTTATGAGTACATGAAATGGATACATATAAGAAAAATAAAAAAGAAACAATAGGACAGGGACGGTAGGCACGTTGGTGCGCTTATGCATGCCCCCTTTGAACCAGTTCTATCAAAGATATTTGTTCATGTAGCTACCTTTACTCAGTACCTTTAGTTTTGATCTTGGTGAGGTTTTTTTTTCTGAATTAACACCTTGCTAACCAACTAATTGGGTTAGCTGATGATTCAGCATGTGGTGCAAACCTAGGGAATGAGTTAACAAAGTAACAAAGTTAAGTGAGCTGTATGAAACACCCAGTCAATTTCTCAGTCTCATTAAGTTATCATCCTATCAGCCCTACTGCTTCTCTGGCTAATAATGATTGTTTTATCTCGGCTTTCTTGATATCTTTCCAAGCTGCTAAGCTAGTTCCTTCTGGTCTCTCTTGATTTATCAACATCAGCTTCAGAGGTGGTATTCAGCTGGTTCTGACCAGTTCTGGAGAACCGGTAGTGGAAATTTTGAGTAGTTCAGAGAACTGGCAAATCCCACCTCTGACTGGCCCTGCCCTCATCTATTCTTTGCCTCCCGAGTCCCAGCTGATCGGCTGGGTCTTCTTTTGTTGCCCTGCACAGGAGAACAGAGCTGGAAAGCAGGTTAGTGGGGTGGGGAGAGAATGGGGATTTTTCAGTAACCTTCTCCTGCCATGCCCACCAAGCAATGCCATGCCCACCAAGCCACGCCCACAGAACTGGTAGTAAAATTTTTTGAATCCCACCACTGATCAGCTTAACCCTGTTAATTTACTTGCTGGTAGATCACTGGTAAATTTCTGATTAGGTTGTAATAGACTTGTCTGGATGTTGCCTTCTTACTTATAAGAGATAGTTCTCAACTTACAGTCACTTAATGACTATTCAAAGTTATGGAAGACTTCCCCAGAGCTACTTATGACCCATTTTCAAAGTTACTATGGCCGCATGCACCCTCCCAGGTGGTCACATGACTTAGCAAGCATCTCATGTTTACAGCTGTTTGCATCATTCTGCGGTCAAGTGACTATGATTTATGACGGGGTTGTGGTTTTTTTTTGTTTCTGGTGTTTACTTCTAGTTGTTAGCAAAAGTGCCCATCGGGGAAAATGGATTCACTTAACAACTGTAGTGTTTACTGAGTGGCCACTGCAAAAAATATAAAAAATAAATAAATCAAGTTTGATCATGTGATGTCTCAATTTATGACCATCATATCTTACCATCATAATTCCAGGCTCAATTACAGTTGTAAAATGGGGACTATTTGTGGTTCCACAGGTGAAATACAATGAGTTCTGTCTAATATTTAGCAAGGATGGGAGGTGGATGGTGGGTGGGAATGACTGGTTAAGTTACAGATGCATTTTTGCCTGCAATCTGTAGTGTAAATTTGAACTCATCGGGGTTGCAAACATATCTCGTACGATCTTGGTTCTAGATTGACGGTCTGTTCTTTCTCGACTAAATCCATTTTGTTATTGCTCTGCTTTTGAGGTCTGTGCTATAGATTTGCTCTTTGAACCTACCGGTACCTTTTCATTTTGTCTGTAAGGAAATTTGTTTTGATTTTCCTAAACCTGAACAAAACATAGAGTTTAATTATAAATGGAGTTTCAATATATGTTAGTTTTGCGTATTGAGAATCAATTGTGAGCCAAGAACAAAGAAAAAAAAAAGCTTTGATTGCAATTCCTTATTTCCACTCCAAGGCAGAAATAAAGCAGTATTTAATATTTTTTTTGTGGATATTTGTGACTTCTAATTGCTTCTCTTCAAAGTGGAAAAGAAACTCTACTTTGCTGCATTAATTTAGCCAGCTTCTCTTGAGTAACGTAGCTTTCTCAGTTTATGCAGTATTAAATGTGTTTGGCTAGCTTAGTATTTCTTAATCTTGCCAACTTTAAGTTAATGTGGGGACTTCCACTCCTAGAATTCCTAGGCAGTCTTGAGTTGAAGTTCACACATCTTAAAATTGAACTGGCAAATAGTTCCACCTGTGGGCTGTTCCTTGTGATAACTAAACTTGCAACTCCTTGCTAGCTAGGAGGAGGAAAAGCAAGGTAATTAAACTTGCAGCCACTAATATTTAGGAGCTACTGAACATAACAGGGAAGATATATTTTATTCTAGGAGACATTGATGCGTGAAAGTGTGATGCTGTTCTAGGTTTAGCACATTGAGGTCACAAGTAGTCCCGAGATCTTTCAAAGAAAGGCATATATTCTCCTTTGGATATTAGCTTGGACCATTCTTTACTTTTCCAGCTGTCACCCAAGCACTGCGAAGTAGATACATCCTCTTTCCTTTTTTCACATTGTCTGTCCCAAGTATGATATTCTCATTTTAGCAATGGTCAGCTTCAGCTGAATAGAAGCGTGGGGGCTTGGCTGTCTAGTTTCTCCTTCATGATCTGGGAGTAATGAATTCAGAACGGATTTTTGTTTTCTTTTTCATTCTCTGGGGCTGACCTTCTGGCTGGCCTTCTGTGACTCAGCAGAGCATTCTTTGCAGCATTTAGTTTTATGTCAAATGGAGTGATTTGCAAGTCTAATTCTAATTCATAAACATACAGATGTGTGCGTAAGACCATCTGTCCATGCTACCACATTTCCTTGCATGCACTTTCTTGGCTGAGTGCATCCATGCACACGTTCATACATACATTGTATTATAGTTTCCTGTTTAACAGTTGCTGAGTTGGTTGCGAATAAGGTTTTGAGTCCAAATGTTGGTTTTGATCTAGAAAGCCCTGTATGGCTTCATCTTAGGGCAATGTATTTATTTATTTATCAAATTTAATGGCTGCCCATCTACCACAGGGTTAAACTCCAGGCGGCTTACAATATTAAAAAGATAAAACGATGTAAGTAAAATGCTACAAAATATAAAACTACAAAATACAACAGCCAGAAGATGGGAAGGGAGGAATAAGATCAGCATGGGGGGTGGGTGCAGCAATCTAATATTAATCTATCAATCACCCCCAACATGAAGCATGAAGCACCTTCTTAGACACCCTGTTATTTCACACATTAATTGCATAATAGTTCCTGTTTAACAGCTGCTGAATTGGTTACCAAGAGGGTTTTGAGTCCAAATCTTAGTTTTGATCTAGAACAGGAGTCTCCAACCTTGGCAACTTTAAACCTTTAAGCAAAGCTGCCCGGGGAATTCTGGGAATTGATGTCCTCCGGGCTTAAAGTTGCCAAGGTTGGAGACCCCTGATCTAGAACACGGGTGTCAAACTCACGGCATCACGTTACCGTCATGTGACGTATCGCGATGTTTTTTTCCCCTTCGCAGAGCTGGGGTGGGCGTGGCCTGTGCATGACGCATCCAGCCCGCGGGCCACCAGTTTGACACCCCTGATCTAGAAAGCCCTGAATGGCTTTATCCTAGGATCTTGTTCCTTTGAAAAATCTAAGAGACATTAAGTTTTAGACACTGTCTTCTACTGTGTTAGTCCAAATGCTTTGGCATCCCTTGTCTCCAGAGAGTCATCTTGGCACCTGCCCTGTTGGAATTTTGGAAGGGCTGTCAAGACGGTTTCGTTTGAACAGGCTTTGGAGAAATGATTGGATCAAGTCCAGTTTTTATGCCAGCCAAGGAATGAGACTTGGGATGAAATGTGTGTTCCAAAGTTGGGACGTGAATTCCACCCTTATCATACTTGTATCTGATGTGGTAATGCAAGTACAAAAGGGAGAGAATTGTAGTGTGATTGACATTTTGTCATTTTGTGCTTACATATAACTAGATTTTGTTTTAATACGCCGCCTGTAATTTTTATGTTTTCATATTGCTGTATTTATAGGTCTGAGATTGTTGTATGTCACAGAATTTCTGCTGATTGATGTTTATTGGGATTAATTTATCAGAAGCATAAGCTGCCCAGAGTCATTTGGTTGAATTTGGAGATTGTAGAAAATCAAATGGATGGATGGATGGATAGAATTAGAATTAGAATTCTTTTATTGGCCAAGT